AGGAACTACATTGTAATAACGAAAACACTGATGTCAGCAGAGCTGAAGGCAGAGCAGTTCCCCCAAGTTTCAGTAGGCTGAAACATGTAGTAAGGTAAAGTTGTCCCTGTGCTAGGAGAGTGGATATATAGACCCATGTTTTCTTGACCTCGGCACTAGCTGGAGGTGAGTGGTCAGCTTTACACCCCTGCTGCTTTACCCCTGGTGAAAGAGCCCCTGGTACCCATTTGATAGGAAGCTGGGCAGGCCCCAGAGCTGGTCTGGACAACTTGGAGAAGAGAAAATTCTTGACCCTTCTAGGACTGAGACTCCGACCCCTTGGTCATTCAGCCTGTAGCCAGTCGCTATACCGACTATGCTATCCTGGCTCCAAAATATGTAGTGCAGTGAATAATTTTAAAAAGGATTGAATTTTAAATCTTGATACTGTTGCTTGGTGGACAGTTTCCAACAGTTCTTCAGTTGGTGCATGCATATCTGTTGCCTGACTATGGACCAGGTATTGTCTATGTGTTTACCCAGCTGTTGCCTCACAATGGACTATGTAATCATGTCACAATACTATAAGCTTAAAATTCATAATGAAGTGTTCGAGTTGATTGAAATTGCCTAACAGAAAAGATATCTCATCTTAAGCCATTTGCGCTTTGGACTGGCAGTTGGTTGAGGGGCTATGCTACAAGCCGAAGGTTGTGGGTTCAAGTCCCGATGAGGTCATTGGATTTTTTCAATTGACCTAATCTTTCCAGCTGTACTATGGCCCTGGGGTTGACTCAGCCTCTAACAGAAATGAGTATCAGGAATTAATTATTAATTTTCCTGGGGAGTAAAGCGCAGCCAGCGCATAAGGCTCACAACCTTACCGCCATATTTGAGCCGATTGTCTTAGATAATGTGGGAACCTCAACGTCTCGTGGGCCTTCATGCCCTGGTACAGAGATAGCTTTACTGGCAAGTACAGCTCACTTCCAGTGTTATTCTCAAGTGTGTCAGTGTTCCTGGGCTTCTATCTTTAATCAGTTCTCTTTGAGCTCTAGTCTACTCAATTAGATAACAGACCATATACAGTAACAGGTCAGTCTTTATGGTGAAGGTTTGCACTTCAGTGTCAACAAGAAACTGATAAGGGAGTTTGATGCTCATCTTGTGAATAATGCATGAAAGCATCATCTGAAGAATGAATGAGCCACAACTAAGAGGCGGGTGAAGTTTCAGTTTCCTGTTCGTACTGCACTGTCATGAATTGTAGTTGCAATAAATCATAAGTGTATTCTTGCAACTTTGCAACTTTGTGTACATGCCCACTATTTAGTGCCTTCTGCTTAAAATACAGGTTTTCCTTAATCTATGGGATAATTGTGTACCAAAAAGAAATAACAGAGAGTGAACTCACATAAATTGAGAATAGTTGGGCCAAATTGTGTTTTCCTCTCCTCTCATTCCTTCTTCACCTCCCTCACGATATTCTATTCCCCCTCTCCCAGCCTCTCTCAGTTGGATAGTAAGAAACTCACATTCATTTAAATCGATTAAAATTTGATGAGCACATTAAAATACATGTAATATAAAAATTTTGAACTCATATACAGGGTGTTCCTAAAAGAATGGTGGGATTTCATTGCCGTATATCTCCGTCAGTTTTTGCTGATGAAAAGCAAAATGTGTATGGATTCATAACATGGCTCTCAAATTTTCATTTTGTATATCACACTCTTTCCTAGTTACATTTCCGACAGTTAGGCAAACGATGGATTGGATGAGCTGCAGGTGAAGATGCCCCCTTTCTCCAGTGGCCACCCTGGTCCCCGGGCATAACTCCATGTGATTTATTCCTGTGGGGGTATGTGAAGGACATGGTTTATGTACCTCCATTGCCCCAATCACTCTAGGATCTCCGAAACAATCAATCATGCTATGGAGACCATCACACCTGAAATGCTGCAGCGGGTGTGGCAGGAATTGGACTATCACATTGATGTGTGCCGGGTAACGAAAGGTGCGCACACAGAGGCACTTTGATGGATGCACATAAAATTTGGACAGTTGAGCTTCTGATTGACGCATGTTATGATTGT